TTTTTTTCTATTCCTAGTTTATCTTGAATTATGACAAACCATTCGGTGCAACCTATATTAACAATAATAAACATAACAACTAATAATAATGACGCTCTAGTCGCATGGTATTTCCGTGCTGTTGCATGAACTGGAAGCATCTCCCTGTACTCGCTGCTCCCTCCCTTTCTTTATAACAAACTGTCAACGAGAAAGGACTCCCGGTCGACCATCAGCATTGCAAATTAACCATGTCGTTATCTTCTTCCCATTCTCATTATAATCCTCTGGCTTTCTATATTCGTGGTTTTGGGGGTGAGAGTTATCTGTAACATGAATTTCGTTTTATTATCGAGAACGTATTTTACCCATAAATTCTGACCGTCCTGGCGCGAGTCTTTTTTCCTCTTCTTACCTCTGAGTCACGGTGGGAGGAGGGCCACGTGCTTCACGCGCAACACGTGCTCAGTCGAAGAATTGTTTGTCTCGCTCTCGCGCGCTACGATACTGCCGAGTTGAGTTGGCGTCGCTCTCACGGCATTATCGCGCAATTTTTCAACGGATTTCCTTCTCTCGCTCGCTCGCGTTATAAGACAAGGCAAAGCACGTGATGCGCTGCTCCTCCTCACGATCGCACTTTACTTTTCTATTGACAGTCAACCCTGGATTTGTCTGATCATGTACACCTACATACACACTGTCTTCCCTTTACGGACGTCATAAAGGTATTGATGTCAGTATTACCAAGTACTCGGCCATTAGTAGCGATATCGATCGTTCTTTATCTTACCATCGTGCTCATTTATTAACATTACACATTAGCTCGATTAATCATCTTTCTAGACGGTATTCATCGCTTATAAAATTACCGGCTAGGGCATCTCTAATTGCTATAATAATTATTGGTAATTATTGTTAATTGTTGTAATAAGGTATTGGTAATTAATAATAACAATGATAATAATTATTATTATTGGTACGCTGGTAGCGAGAAAAAGAAAAATGAAAAAAGTGAGAAATAAAGTATCAAAAATAAATATTTGATATGATATGTAAAACTGCGTAAAAGAATGTACGTCCGGTCATCTATTGATGGCGTTACGATAAGGGAACGATATTATTATTCGTTTCATTGTGCCTTGACTCTGCATTATCTAACTTGCTAAGTGGCTCGTGCGACGAAATAGATTCGCCGAGGACTCACTCTCGCACAAACGACAGAGAAACGAAAAAAAAAAAAAAAAAAAAAAGAATCAGGCGTCAACGAGGCAAATATGAACTTGAGCACACGAGTTTGCGTATTCCTGTGAAGATATGCATTTCGTACTGAGCATATTAAACACTAAATCATAAGTAAAATAAGTCTTTTAATTGGAATAGTTGTTTATAATATTGTGTTAGCGTATTGTTAGATTATCTTGAATCTTTATCGCTAATCAAACGATTCCTAAACTGATAACTTAATTTCAAAGATAATAATAATAGTCATTATCAAAGAATAGCCAGATAAAACAATTACATATTTCACAAAGGAAAATTATTATATAATTATATATAAATTTTATTATAGAAATATTTATCGTACACCTGTATGATAATATAACTATTTATTTATGTATAATTTAAATAAGATTTTAATTTAAAAATTTTCATAAAATATTCTACACCCATTTACTCATTATTAATTGACTTTGAATATTAAATTCAATATTAGTAAAATCATATTAACAATATATTTATACATTAGCCAAATCAGTATTCAATATCTGTATTGAGAATCATGATTAAATGAAATTTTCTAATCGCAATAAATACGATAATTACGGATTGAACTAAACCAACAGAGGAACATTAAAAAAAGAAAAAATACATAACTAAAATTCGTCAAATGATCATCTTCGCACTAAATATACCATATTATAAAAGAAACAGGAAAATTATTCACAAAATTACTGACATTTTCATTAGGATTGTATGGAAAATTAAAAAGATAATTTTTGTTGCTGATATTTTAATAATATGCTGTGGATTATATAATTACCGAATTAATATTATGGTTGTATAATAAATTTTGTAATTAATTTAGCAACGAATATCTTAATTTGTTTTTATAAGTCTTTCTTGTTAAAACATGACCGTACACACACACGCGCGCGCGCACACACACACACACACACACACATATATATATATAAAAGCATCGATAAAATAATGTTTAAGTATCTATATTTATTAAAACAATTAAAGTTCATTAATTAATCTCTTGTACCGTGACAATTATTGTTTTAATTAATTTTTTACACTTCTCGCATTGTATACCAACACTGTGTATACTGAATATATATATAAGATAAGAAAAGAAAAAAAAAAGTAAGCGACAAAACATTTTTATATTGCCACTGTTATTTTTATTTGAACAAAGAGGCGCATACATAAATACTAACGTGTACAGTCGCACATCCACACGCGAGATCTTGTAAATTCATTACAAGACCGTTATCGCGCCAGTTGCGATATGATAAATAGGCTACAAATAATATATCGATTGTAAATTGCGCAATTTGAGATGATAATAAACGATGGGATTTTCGATATGCAAATTCCGATACGGCTATTACGGCAAAGAGTCATAAAGATTTACAAAGATTGTTTAAAGGCCGAAAATGAGATGAATTCACGTATGAGACAACAATTATATAAAAGAGTTTTGTACATAAATATCTAATTTGATTTATAGGATAAAAAAAAAGCATAAAGTTTTTACGAAACTAAAATTGCAACCTTCTAAGTTTTTTTTGACGAGAGCTGTGGCTCGTATCGCGTTACATCAAATGAAAATTAAGGTAATTTAGATGATTGTTTGCACGCTTGTAAACAACAAGGCGTTTAAAAGACAAACGTATCTACTCTCCTTTATAACATTGATTACATCTGCAATAAAAATTTGTATTTTATTGTAAAAACATCGATAAAAACATTAATGCAAAAAATTAACGCTTCTCGATTAGCACGTTCGAAGGCGACGGAAAATTTGAATGACTCGTTCGCAACAATTGAATCGTCCCATCTTTAATTTTGCTATATCTTCGACTAAGGCAGTCAGTCAGTTTGGAACGACTCGAGCTCCAAGCCGATTCTTACAGCCGTGATGTAGAATAAAGCGAGAGAGAGAGAGAGAGAGAGAGATAGATATAGAGACAGAGAGACAGAGAGACAGAGAGACAGAGACAGAGAGAGAATAAGAAAAAAAAATACTTATCGCCGCTCAATTGATTCGCGGCCGGGTCGTAAACTGGCCTACAAAGCCCACATAGGATGAGAAAAAGTAAAAAAGAAAGCGTGCCTTCGCGTTCGAGATCTCGCCCACGCATCAAAAGAATCGCGCGCATGTCGTAGCCGCTCGGCGTGTACATTAGTCATATGTTTCTTGATTTTATGCTTCTCCGGTACAGAGAGCAGAGCAGAGCCTCCTGGCATTGTTTACCAAAGCGCGATAAAAGAGCTCGCGAGAAAGATAGTAAGGCAAAGGAAGAGACAGGAACGATAAAGCAAGTCCGGCCAGCGACGGCCACGTACTGTATTATTCGCGATAAGAGCTTAAGAGCTTGGCTTAAGAGCTTAAGAAGCGCGGCTGCGGGCAGTGAAAATTTTAACCGAAAAGCCGAAAATAATCGTCATCGATAAGAACGGGCGCACGTAACACGCATGATTGGCGCTTCTCCCACTATCGATGCACATGGTATTTTTATTTTCAAAGAATCGCGCCCCCGTTCGTGCTGCGAGCGCGATCGGCCGTTCCGTCATCTTCGACAATCGTTGAACATAACCTAAAATAGCGCGCAGAAAGTACATTAGTGTTTGATGTGTTATGTATATTGTGCGCGTGTGTTCTCTTAAGCGCGAAATTATTTTCTTCAGGCGAGGCAACGGCACGATGTCATTGTGGCCGGATATTCTGTGAAACGAGTTCCTCCAACGCAGGTAATATCGCATTATCGCAAATAGAATAGCCACGATAATCCCAGTGATTTACTCGTGTAAAAGATACGTGTGTTATTGGCTCTTTAAAATATTGGACGTTCGTGCTCTCTTCTCGCTTTGTGTTCTTTCGTCACTGGCAATTACATTGAAACATCAATTTTCGGGAGTGCTTTGATTTTGCGCAACTGCTAAGATTCAAAGACTATTAATCTTTAAAATTATGGTTGTTAAACATTGATTGGTCGGGAAAGAAGATGAAATTTAATTATTTCGCATTGTAATGGAAGAAGTTTATAACTTTATTGTTATATATGTTAATAGAGGCACCTCTGCTGGAAAGCAAATCGCCGTTTTAAAGTTTATAATGAATTACTTACTAAGAACTTGCTTAATGTGTGGCCAACTGCACACACGCACGCACGCACACAACACTAATTACTTTGTTAATGAGTTTCGTATTAACAGCGAGAACTGATTGAAACTGTATAAATAATTTATTATGCTCGATCGAAAGATGATTTTTCAAACATTTACCAAGGGGTATTTAAATATTCAAAACAGAAAAACAGAGAGAGAGAGAGAGAGAGAGAGAGAGAGAGAAAAGAAGAAAAAACAATTAATATTTATTTAATATCGTGACGATATTATTATTATTTAGTATTTCCTAGGTTATTATTCTTTATTCTTCATTGAATGCATTATTGACTAATATTAATAGTTCTAAATATTATCAAGTATATTAAAATATATACAGCAATCAATGTATTAATATATGTGACAAGTAAAAATGATGAAACCAATGATTTATTGTGACTTGAACTAATTTATAATAAATTTTATCTATTATTTTCAATATTCCATGTCAAGTAGTCTACCTATTTTTTAAATGGTAAATATATGTTAAAAAGATAGATTAAAATTATGATAAATTTATGTCAAATGCTTTTTTCAAATATCATAATTTGAAAGAAAAAAAAAAGAAGAAAAAAAACAATAACTGTATTGTCTTGATAATTTTAGATTCAAATATTAAACAAAATATTATAATGTAAGATATTGAATAAAATTTATAAATACATGTACAGGACGCAGGATGATAGGTGAGCCAACGCCATAACATAGATCTATTATAAGACTCGGATGGACAAAGAATATTTATTTCAATGTAATTGAAGTTTAAACAAAATTTTATTATAAAATCGGTGGGAATGGGCAATTGCCTACGCAAAAACAGCAATGAGGAATCTGCACAAGTTCCAGATAATAGCACAAGAGCCGCGGATACAACAATTTTATCGGATAACCACACGGAAAATATTGCAGCTAATGAAGCATCGACTAATTACAAGTTTCCTACGTCCGCTAATATCGACAAGCTAGTGCTGGAAATCTTAGGTGTCATTGGCTTACTTGTCGACAAGTGAGTTAACAATAATTCTATATGATTAATTTGTTATTTAATTTTTTCGTTGTCCTAATTATTCGACAATAATACCAATTGCTCTAAGACTGATGAAAATTATTACACTTTCATTCCAATATAGCATAATTATACGTTCGTTAAATAATTTTATACCTCACCATACCAATGGCAATAGTTTCATTAAACAAGTAGCCCCCATAATTCCATGCATACACAGTAAAAATTTATCCATAATTAACTACTGTACTTTGTGTAACAATAAAAAATAATGAACGTTAACTAATTGCTTATTGTGATAAATGAAAATGTTATGGTACAATCACTTGGTATCCATTAATTCAACGAACGAATCTATTAATTAAACATTTTTTTTAATTTATTAATTAAATTTCTAATTTTGATAAAGTGAACAGGAACCACCGCCTGCGATGCTGAAATTACACAATATCGCTGATAAAGAAGATGGTTGGATACAAGTTGTTAGTTCTATGGTTAATGTAATTCCTATGCATAATCCATTGGGTCCATCAGTCATATCTTTAATGTTAGACGACTGTCCATTACCTTCTAAAGTAACACTCTTTTATAATGATATAAAATTTATTCTAACCAATGTATTAAACTTCCAAAGGGATTGAAAAAAGTAAATTTTAATTATATTTTAAGGATTCAGTTTTAAGGCTGTCTCAAATGTTTCAATTATCTCAAAAACATAATAAGATACAAACTAGTTCCACTCAGCAACGTAATATTTGCGTAGTTCTGGGATGTATTGCGGACAGATTAGCCGGTCCTAGTAGTATAGCAATTTTATCGGATGCTACTTTAGATTACCTTGTGTCAAATCTTGTAAGTTAAATTTACAGTTCTTTTCCTACTTAATTTTGCCATAATTTATCATTTTTACTTTTATATTTTGCAGAGAGAAGATATTGAACCGTACGTTGTATTATATTCTTTGATAGCTTTAGAAAAGTTTGCCCAAACAAGTAAATATTCATTTTCAATAAACGAATTTTATTTATTTAAAAATAGATAATTTTGTCAAGAATATTTATTTCTTACTTACTAATGGATTACAATATCTATTGATTTTTCAGGTGAGAATAAAATAACTATTAAAAGGCGACTTTTAGAAGAGAAACCAAATCCCCTGTTAGAATTAGAAAAGTGGGTCAATGAGACTCACTATGTTCGTCGACAACTCGGCTTTTGCGCTCAATGGTGCTTAGATAATTTATGTAAGTTCTCCTCCTTTTCATATATTGTCTAAATATAATTATTACAATTACTTAAAAATTCACGGATATATAACAGTTTTAATAGATGGCCGAAAATATTCTTATGATACGGTTGACATGACTGGCATTAATGTGATGTTAAATACAAAGGACGTAAGTGAGTACCTGAAAATTTCGCCCAATGGTTTAGAGGTTCGCATTTTATTATTTTCAATATAATTTTAATTTGAGAATTTACCGTTAATTTCTTATGGAAAATGTATTATTCATTGCAGGCGCGATGTGACGCTTGTTCATTTGAAAGTGTTAGATGTACTTTTCAAGTTGACAAAGGAGTATGGTATTATGAAACTTTAATTATAACGACAGGCGTAATGCAAATTGGATGGGCTACAAAAGATAGCACGTTTCTTAATCATGTAACTATAATTACCATTAAAACTCAACAGTTTCTATAATAATAATAATAATAATAATAATAATGTATCTACTTTACTAATATGAATTTCTATGTTTATTAAGATATCATAGAAAGTAACGATGAATATCTAATTTAGCATTGAATCTTTATTAATTCATGATAAAGTTAAAAAAAAATTTTATTACGAAAAGTTTATGAATTCACGTTAATAATTATTGTTGCTTAATAATATATCATAATAATAATTGCTTTATAATTGATAATCATTGGTGTAAATATATCTTATAAAGGAAGGTTACGGAATTGGAGACGATCAGTTTTCATTATCGTTTGATGGATGCAGAAGACTAATCTGGCACAATGCACGTAGTGAAAAGTTTTATTCCATACCCTGTTGGAAAGCTGGAGATACTTTAGGCTGTTTGCTTGATCTAAATAAATTAGAAATAGTTTTTTCTATAAATGGAAATGCATTAAAACCATGCGTCCAATTATTTAAAAGTGCAAGGTATTTAGACTTAATTAAAGTGTTTATTTGATTTGTCTGTAAAATATAAATTCAAGCATTTAAGAGAGAAATTAAAATCCTTCAAAATTATGAGAAAACTATTTTGCATGTTGTTGTAGGTCAGGATTCTTTGCAGCTGCTAGTTTTATGTCGTTTCAGCAGTGTCTTTTTAATTTTGGGAATATACCGTTTAAATATCCACCTTCGGATCGAAATTATCAGACATTTAACAATCATGCTAATTTAGATCCCGAAGATAAAGTTGTTTTACCAAGGCATATATACCTCGACCAGCTTAGAAAACTCAGTGTTAGAGAAGATTCATGCACATTATGTTTTGATCGTAAAGCATCCATTAAATTACTGCCTTGTGATCACCGGTAATTAATAGTCATTTAATGTATTTTGTATAATTTAAAGAATTTTAAATCACGATTATTTTATGAAAATATAAATTGTTTTGTTTTAGGGGATTCTGCCAACCCTGTTCAAAACAATTGATTGAGTGTCCAATGTGTAGAGCGACGATTAAAGAAATGTCAGTGGATAAGACTTGACGCTCACCAAAACATTTAGCATTTATGAATCGTTTATATTTTATTGCAACATGTAATTCTAAAGGAATGTCAGATAATCACTAATTAACAGATTATCGATTAATTTATTAGAAGCGTACAATCACTTGAAAACTACCAGTCGGGTCTGATGGAAGCTTTTTCTTATACGATGATTGAACTCCAGCTTGGAATATAAGAAAAAGTTTAGGCATCTTATAGATTTTAAGACTTTCTAGAACGTTTGCAAATATAATACCTTTTGAATTCTTATCGAAAGCAGACAGCAAAATTTCTTGAAGATTTTAAAATCTAGATAAATATTGACTAATGAAACTTAAATGTGATTTAAAGATAGAAAAGAAATGGTACAATGAAATGTAATGAAATTATTCATTCTTTTTTATAAATATATTTTTTGTTTGTTTACTGGTAAGTAACAGTCGTAATAAACAAAATAGCATCATAATTTCGTTGTTCAATATTTAAAATTTAGAGCAAACAACATTCCAGTTAAAGTGACTGATCTGATTTTAGTTTCTCCACGCTTTATGATTTTTTCACAAAACTTAAATATTTTGAAATACGAGGTTTGATCACAAAGTGCGTGCAATTTTTCAACTTTCCGTGTTATATAGCATTTTTGTGATATTAACGTAAATATCTAGCATATACATACATGTATTAAGTGCATAGTTTAGATTTAACGATCACGAAGGAAATAGTAATTTTAGAAGTTGTATGAGTGGATATGCAATAGATTTTATTAAACGATCAAGAAATTGAATGAAAACTATGTAAAAATTAATATTAAATTTTTATGCTATAAAAATGTAAAAAAAAACTTGTAAGTTTAATACCTAACAGCTGTTGATTTATATACAATATTAAATTTAACGTATAAGTCGTTAATTAGTTGACAATTTAGAGTAGCATTAAATAAAATGGTCAATATAAAAATGTTAAGAGAAAATTATTATTAAATTTAAAGTAGTATACGTTTCATAGAATTTATGCAAAAATATTGTACTAAAATTTTGAACATGAAATGAGATTACAAATATTTTAACTGTAATACAATAATACTTAAAGTTACAATTAAAAAAATATGCTTAAAATAATAAATAAAATAATGTAGAATATAAAGGTGCTCGAACATACAGGATTTATCAATTAATCATGATTATGTGGCAACGATGCAGAACAAAAATTTCATTTATTTTGAAAAATATAATTACTAAAAAATACTGCTTAGTTCTATATTGTTTGGATAAGAGTTGTAAAAATGGCGACAAACCATTATTCTTACAGATTGTGTTGCGATAACACACTTATTTAAAATTCTTCATGCAGACATAAGTGTTTACAAAAAATTATTAAACCAAATTTATTTTTTGTTCAATAATTGTACTATATCAGATATATCAAAATTGCACGAACATTTGGATTAAACCTCATCGAATTCATTCAAGTTTTCGAGAAATAAACATTTTTAATTAATTTAAAAAATATTCGAACCTTTAACACAAATAGAAGGGCAATTTTTTTAAAGCATTGCTGGATAATGCATTGTACAATTCTAAACACGATATAACTTTTTATATGTTTCTATTCCTTTCTAAATACTTCAATAACTGTTATTGTATCAAATCAAAATACGAAGTTTGCGATCATATCTTAAAATTAATATAATTTCAAAAAACAAGTATAATAATTCTCTAATCGCTAACTAAACTATAAAACAGTTTGTAAAAATTTATAATGACTAATTTGTCATATTACTATATAATTAAGTATTAAGTGCATTAACAATTAAGTGCATAAACAATATGAATTAATTTTCTTATTCAAATTGTTAGGAGTTCTATAACAAAGTAAATTAAGCTTGACGTGTAAGGTATATTAGTCACATTTATTAATTACATTAAAATAATAATTTTTTTTCTTCCTGTGTTTGACAATGTTTCTTCTGCTGCTCTCTATACAAAACTATATGAAACAATAAATCTCATTTCATACAAAATTTAATATTCTCTTAACATATATTATTTGTCAAATGTCAAATGTGATCTACTCTAATCTACGAAAACAAAATGACCCTTTTTATCGGGTTACATCATCGAACTTATGTATAATAATTTTAAAAACAATTCTTTGTAAAATAACTGCGTAGTGTACATACGCCAAGGCAAAATATAAAATAATGATATATAGAAATATGCTATAAAAAAACTGTATATTATATTCTTGATCGAATATAAAGAGTTCTAATATTTTAATTTATGCCTTTCATTAACCTTGTATAATATTTTAATTATTAAGACTAAAAATATTTTCTAAATAAATGAACCGTCAATCTAATTTTTAGATGATTTTTAGATCTTTTTAATAGAGGAAATACTTTGTTATAAATGCATTCATATATTATAAATGTATTTAAAGAAATACAAAGCGAAGACAAAAATAAGTATACTTTGCACTTATTTCATTACTTTTAGGATTGACGACTCTTGTAACAAATGAAAACATAATTTTATAAATTTATCACATAGTATATATATATATATATATATATATATATATAGATTTCTTATATATTGTACATGTATTGTAATTTATAAAATACTTAATAAGATAGCTGGAAAAATTAAATAAAAATCTTTTTAATGAAAATGTTTTTTCAATATATTTTCATATAAGAATGTTTTTATTTAATTAATGCATGTGATGTGAATGTATTGCTAATATAAAGAAATTTTTAAGTATATTATGAGGTATTTAAATTTTATATTTTAAATACGAAATGACTTTGTATTTATATTTACAAAACTATCAAGTTTATTGATCATTGAGTATTCGATGATTAGATGAAGTAATTTATATTTTGTTTAATAATGAAGTAGATATTTTCGTTTATGTATTTTACATTTATAGATATTTTTGAAAACATATTTATCAAGATTCGCCATAAATTTGTACAAAATAAGTACTGTCTTTTATATATTATATAATTGAATTTATTTCAAGCAACTGAACGTGGTAATATTCTTTTAATTTAAGAAAAAGACAATATTAATTATTTTTCCTTATTTAGCATTCCATTTTTTTTTTTATCTACAAAGGAATTGAAATTTAAAATAAGTTTTCACACAAACATATAGATATGTATAATAATACAAAATTGCTTTCCAGAAATATGATCAATTTCTGCGAAGAAATCCCTACAATTTCTGCTTATTATACGTATATTCGTTGGTATTTACAATATCTCTTAAATGTTAGATTCAGTCGAAAGATTAATTATATTTGTAGTATTAGATACAAAAAATAAACAAAATTTCAAACTTCACGATTTTAATGAATTTATGAAATTTATGAAATTTAATGAAATGGAATATTTTGTATTTAATATACATTATAAACATGTAATTTCTTAAAATTGATACTCTTACTAAAAATTCTTTTGTATAATGATCTCATGATCTCATGTATAAATTTACAATAGTTAGTGATCAGTTAGTAAACTTCTTTTTGATGAAGCAGTCTAAGGTGATAATACTGTTATCTCTCTACAAAAGTCATTTTACTTTAGTCTTTTTACAAAAGACATTTACTTAATGTATTGTAATTATTTTACTTCATATCATTGTAATAAGTACATTATTCTAATTTTTTCGGTTTATATAAATAAGTTTATAGTACAGCAAAAGATTTATATACAATTCATTTTACTACACCCAGTAATATTCAAATAATCACTATTGAGATAAAAGGAATTAAACGAATGTTAAATATAATGTGATTTGAATTACATGCTATGATATTTCTGTTTTATTAAAATGATTAAGCGAAAATTTATAATATCTGGTATATATTATAATTATAATTATATATTATAATTATAATATAATATAATAATTGTATATATAAATCGAACCACATGATCGTTTTGAGTTTATAAAGCTCAGCTTGTCTTTATTATCTCTTTGACGTAAGAACACTCGAAGAGAATATCGTCCATAAACTATTCTCATAATTTCTTGAGTCCTTATTGTTATAAATAGTTAAATAAATAATTGAAGAAATATTTTATATCTATGAAAGAGGAGTAAGAAATATTTTATTTTTATTAACTGAATCAATGAATATGTTATCTATAAATATCGATATGTTTACTCTATTTTTTTAATTACATATCTTTCAAGATCTTTGTGACGTGCTTTCAATGCAATAATTATTGAAATTAATTATTGTCATCCACGTGTAATGCTGTTATTTATAAATGTAATTTATAATGTAATATAAAATAATAGTTTATAGCTCAATGTTTACATATCGTAAAATTCATTTTCTTAAATGAGTTTGTAAATTACTCAATTGGATAGAAACCAAATTGGATTATAGTTTGTAACCGATTCGGCTATTTTCAATGTAAACAAATAATATTGAATATTGCAAAAGATTATGATATCACAATAGACTGGACTATTTTCAATCTATTCAAAATGACAATGTTGAATAAAAATTTTAATGTGCCAAATATTATTAATATAATATAAATCTATCGAATATGTGTGTAGTGTATTATTGCACGGATATTTGTACGAATTGAATTTAACTAAAAAAATTAATGACTAAATATTTGAAAGTATAAATTAGATCTTAACTATTGTAGATAAATCAATAACAAAAACGACATTACCTAGAGCTACATTTTAGATATTTTATATTTCTAAATAGACTTCTTATTTTCAATTTAATTTTTATTCAAAATTTGAATTCGATAAAAACTGAATATTCTGACAAAATTAATAAATAACGCGACGATGTTACATATTCAAAAATGACTATAAGGTTGCATTTGTGTTAAAACAATTCTTTGTATTCGTGAAAAAATTATCTCATTAAAAATAGGCATATACTTTTTATAGTTAAATAAAGATCCAATAATACAAATGTATCTGAAAAAAATAAGAAATAAAAAAATAAACTATGATCTTATAATGTAATACTATGTTGTTTAATTTTTATTTCCTTATCAAGCTTTAATATTCAAAATCTTTAATTAAAAAAAATATAAATTTATAGGAGCAATCGTTTTTAAAAATATATACACATGTCCCAAAATAAGTTGGAACAAATATCTAAATATGTTTAAATAAACAATCTACTTAAATTGAATTGTACTTAGTTGATATAAATTTGGTCGATTAATAAAAGGATTAGATCTCAAATGATAGTTCATAAGTCCTTTGATACTTTATGTTAAAGTGTTATAGA